TGATCTCCAGCTTACTATTATATTCAGTTTCTCAATTCATCACACAGAATTGAATTCGATAATCTCAATTCTCAAGGTTATAGATTTTCTCCAAAATGGTCAGTCCAAAGTTATATTCCATAATATTCTAATCACACTTTCAACAATACTTCTCTCAATCACAATTCTTCATAAGCAAATAATAAAAGCAAAGAAATCAAAGAGGTAGCACCAATCTCCCACTTTTCAACCTCTTTATCCTACAGATCAGCAGATTCCAAAGGTTATGATCCTTTGAATTCTTAACCATTTTTTCCTCTAATAACCTACTATTACCAACTAAATTGCCTAACCATAAGTTTAATTCTCAAGGTTATCAATAATCAACCAGTAACTTACCAAAAAATTTATTTATCTATTCTACACTCTAATATAACCAAATTAGAAGATTTAGCGAAATAGATATACACCAATTAAGTTGCAATAGCTTACATATGCTCTACTTATTATAGTCACTTATATTCTATTAGACAATCCATTCATACATCATATGAGATGAATAACTAAGTACTTTGGTTGATAGCAAATTAATTAATAATAAAGATGAAAGCCAAATTATTAGTATCTTTTGTATTCAAAGAATTCTTAATAGCACCATAAGAGATGTCATGTAAGAAGTTACTAAGTCTTTATGACATAGCTTAGAATTTTATACATTGTTTTGGAACCTAATTAGACAAAACTATCATAAGATGATTATACGTAACATCAACACATGACATCTTCTATAAGGAGTTACAACAAGAATAATAGTTCTATTACATAAAAAGGCTTCTAGAAGAAATTTTATAAATTAAAATTCTATCACTTTATTCAACATAGATTACAAAATTTATACTAAAGCCTTATAATTAAGCCTTCAACTTCTTCTTATAAATATTTTTAGGTCGAATCAATCAACTTTCTTGTCTCAAAAGTCCATATTAGATAATTTGGTGCTTATTCAAGAAACCATGGCATAGACAAAAGAATTGAAATAATCTCTTTTCTTCCTCAAGTTGGATTTTTCTAAAGCTTGTAATATAATAGAATGAGATTTTTTATTTAAAGAAATATAAAACCGTGATTTTTTACAAAAGTTTGGATATAGTGTGATTAATCTTCAAAGATGCATTAGTATGTGTTATACTCAATGAAACACTTTCTTCTCCATTTCCAATTGAAAGAAGACTAAGACAAAGATGGCCATAAGTTTCTTGTTTTTTTTCTTATAATAATAAAAGTAATAAATACAATGATAGTTAAGGAAGTTTATAGCAGTAATATGAGAAGAATCCATCTTTCTATCAAAAGCATGCACTAAGTGATAGCCTAATATATTAATGATACCTCTCTAATCTTATTCAGAGAGATAAATTCAATAAAAAAAATTCATATATACTTTAGACACATTTTTTCTTATATTTGGATTAATATTAAATTAAGAGAAATCCAATGGCTAATAGAAGTTCAAACAAAATAATCTCAAATCACCATAGACAGATCAAATGGAGATATCATAGATAGAGAATTCAGAAGTTAGCTAGCTCTTAAGTGCCTCTTTTGGGCTTTCTTTCACTTTATCAAATATTAGTGCCTTTTTATTTAATAAAATTCATTATAAACTCACATATTGGTATATTACAAAAGTGAATGTTATAAGTAGAGGCATAGTGATTAATAATATGATCTCATCAACTATATTTTTTTTATGTTAATATGAGGTGGAACCCAACGTGACATTGCCAACATAAAAGTATTGTTAGATAATTACCTTACAACTAGATTAATGCAAAGGCCACAATCTAGAATATAATGGTTTTAGTGATGCCAAGAAAAAAAAAATGAGAGCATCAATTTAATTCTTCTATAGGATTTAGTAGCTACTCTCTTAATCAAATGGATGGTTAAGGCTTTAGAGCTTGGACAATTCAACCTATACACAATCCTATAATATCAACTACTCGAATGTCAACCCTATTCCAAAAGTAAGTAGAATCTCAATATGGACTACTTCACCTTATAATGCCATCAAAGCAAACAAGGTTTACTAGTCTAGAATAAAGTATCACATGCATAGAAACATATGTTCTCTAAAATTAAATTTGTGTCTTTAAGCTATTACAAAGATCTTATAAGTTGTAACTATTGGTTTTACTTATCAATACAAACCATATAGTTAGGCTTTTCTAAATCTAAAGCAACCAAACTACATAAGACTAATATGATGAAGATTTGGAATGTTTTGATAGCAAATCACTTTATGTCATATGCAAAAGTCTTCCAAATATATAGAATATTGCTATAAAAAGAAAGAGTATGGCTAGTACTTACAATTGACCTTCATTTAATATAGAGGGATTTTTTACTGCCATCTAATACTAGATGTTCAAAAATGATCTAATTCAATCTATTTGATAATGAAATGGGCAAGCTCCACCCAATCTTTAGTCAAGATTTGAAAAATATATAAATATGGTCAATGGCACAATTAAAAGATTTCTTGTTAATCACCAATCCCATTAGTTAGTAGCCTTACAAGAATCTAGTATATCAACAATTATTAAAATGGATGATTGAATGCCCCCTCCTTAAACCTAGATAGAAGATTAACTTTATCAAATTAGAGTTGTTGTAATTCAAAGAAGACAAGGAAAACTTTGTATCCTACTCTATTATAGTAAAGTTGACAAACTTGAGTGGGATTATAATCAATTTACTTGATGTTGTCGTGTTGTGATTTCAAGAGTTTTGTAATAGATCTATAAGTGAAATTTTGTGAGTTAATGGTTATAGTTGTGTTCAATATATATTGTGAATTTAAGCTCGATCTAACGGTTGAGTTGAAGATTATTGAGGTTTAAATGAATGAAGGTCTCAGAAAGTAGAATTTTAGGTCTAAAGAGGATTTTTAAGATTTCTTGCAATCTACTAATTGGATTGGAGTGAAATTTATGTAAGAAGATACTAGACTTGTTTTTCTATGTGTATGAAAATTTTGAAATCAATCAAATAGTAAAAGAGAGATATTGGCTCTGAGAGATTGGCATCAAGGTTGGAGAAGGAGGCCTATCAATATCCGAGCACGTTTTTGAGGTTATCGTCTATTTAGTAACTCCGATTCTTTTCAATTTTTTTGTCCTTGTTTTACACTTAGTTTTTAAGAAGTGTGCAAAATTTGAATTAAGACCAACGGTTCATTCACTAGTTATTGAGGTTTAAATTTGTTATAGAAATTAGTAGGGTTTGGTTAGGATTTGATTTAGGGTTAGGGTTTGGTTAGGATTTGATTTAGGATTAGGATTTAGTTTAGGATTTAGAGTTTGGTTAGAGTTTGATTTAGAATTAAGTTTTGGTTAGGATTAGATTTAGATTTAGGATTTAGTTAGGGTTTGGTTTAGGATTTAAGATTAGGGTTAGAATTTGATTAGGATTTGATTTAGGATTAGGATTTGATTAGGATTTGGTTTAGGATTTAGGATTGGAATTAGGATTTGATTAGGATTTGATTTAGAATTAGGATTTAGGATTTAGTTAGGGTTTGGTTTAGGATTTAGAGTTTGATTAGGATTTGATTTAGGATTTAGGATTTTATTTGAGTTTATTTAGGATATAAGATTTAGTAAGTTTTTGGCCTAAAAGTTGAATGAAGTAAGGTTTCAACTAGGATTATATTAAGATTGAATTGAGATGTATTTGAGATATGTTTGTAATCATTCTAATATTTCTTTAAGATTTTTTATTGTTTCTTTGGAATTCCTTTGAGGTTTCTCTGAATTTGATTAAAGCTTGTTTAGCATTATTAGTATTCTATTAGAATTAGGATTTTGTTGTTGCAATTTCCATTCTACCTCCCATAGTCAGGTGCCCAAAGCATGCTCAAGTAAGACTTCATGTATTACGACAACGTGATACAATACCAATTATGGCATATATAGCTACAATTGATAGAAGTTTGTTCAAATCAATACACATATTATCTACCATGGTGCTATTCAAATAGCAAAGCATTCTTTAAGCTAACTATTGGTTCAATTAGATAAATTCTTCAAATAAAGAATGTATAAAGAAAGAAGCAAGCTTATTCGTGAATGTTGGGCAAAGACAAACAAACAACAAAGTGGACCAAAGTTACCTTGTCTACTTACGTAAGAAGCACGAGATGGTATTGTATTAATTTTAGCAATGTCTTTCCACCTAAAGGGTGTAGAAATGGAACATCCATATTTTACATTTATTCATAGAAGAACCACCTATACCTAAGCCATCATTGAGAAGTATAAGTGAACAAGCTCACATAATTTTAACAAACAACAATTGAAAGAAGCATCATTATTGGAGTTCTCTCTATCATAAAAACATTATATTTTTACTCATTGTAAATATAGACTATTCAAACAAATCAATTGATTGTGGCTCCTTACTTATAAATCAATTACATAATTACTATAGATGGAACAAAACAATATTGTAATTAATAATACATTCTATCCATAGAATAGAATGTACCATAAAATTTGATTGAATTTGATTGATTACAAATAGAAAACATGGAATCAAATCAAAAACTATTGCAAGCATAATCCAAGAATATGTGTTGCTACATATTTCTAGTTATTAGTTATAATTGGCTACTTGTACAAGTCATGTGTATGATTAGTAATTATAATTATTAATTAGAAACGTATTGACAAAAGTTTGAAGGATTGCTAAGATAATTGCATTGAGATTTAAGTCTATCAACAACTAATTGGATACAACTATGAAATTTATAACATAAACACAATCTGATACATAAAATGTGTTAATTATCACTCTGGTTGAAATTTGTATTGTACAATTTGAAACATGAATATTTCTAAATAGCTTAGAATGCATCACATGTAAACTTTTACTTCACTTTTTGGTTTTTTTTTAAGTATTTATTCTATTTTTGTTTTCAGTCTTTTTTGAAAATCTTGAAAGATATATCAAACTTTAAATAAACACATAAAAATTATAAAGACTTTGATAGCACTGATACTTCTTTACAATTACTGATATTATTTTTCAAAATCCTTAAAAATAATAACAAGCACAATAAAATATTTAAAATATAATGCAACTTGATGGTTAAAATTGGCACACTAATTCTGAGCTTCCTTATGCTGCAAACCAAAACACACTCATGGGGATGGTCATTTTACAATAAAAAAACCAAAACTTGACTGTAGCTTGAATGATAATAGAGAAAGCCCAAATTTATGGATGGAAGGGAACAGTTAAAAATCAATTGATGACGCAATTTGGGTCAGACCTTAAGCTCAAGAGCACTCACCCTCGAACCCTTAATTAGGCAAGATTCTGAAAGGGCATCACACAAAAAGTTTTGAACTTACCAGTTCTGCCCACAATTAATAATCCAGACATATCTTGGTAGTAGAGTCTCTTGAATAATAGCAGGCAATACTAGAAGTGCTTCTCCCACCCTCACATGGTTTTGTCCTAACCAGTGACGAACTCGTGCCCGCTAGACACAATTGTGCACGACCTCTTGGCAAGCCTGCAAAACAGCTCTGGGCCTTCATAGAGGGAATAGTTCACGAGAGGGAACATCGCATAAAAGAAAAAAGCAGAAGTAACGCTACGTATTGCAAATAGGTCGGGACATCTTGTGCATGCCTTGGGCGTGCAAAGGGCATGAATCTACAACCATGATTCATACAATATGACTCTGCATGAACTGCGTAGACATGCCTCCTCCCACCAGAGGCTCGCAATCAGAATCGGCCAATCAAAAGAAAAATGACCAGCAGAACTCGTAAGCCAACTACACATTCTCAGATGAAAACAAATTTACTTCAAATGCAAGTCCCCTTAGCCACCAAGGACAGCACAAGACGCAACTCAAAAGCATCGTGGAAAATTTGCTGAACCTCACGAGTGTTAATGTAATAGGTGGCACGCAGCAAAAGGCACCTCTCAGACAATAGAGTTCCGCGTATATTCTAGATAATGGTGGCCAAGAACTTGTCTAATGATTCCTGCTGAACTGACTGCCGATGATGCTGCGACTAAAAAGATAAAAGCTTCAACAGAAGAAAGTGCAGTGTTCCAAGTCGAAGACTATGATTCACAAGATAACTAGGATGATTTTCCTGAATCCGTAGTACAAACCAAACAAGCCTAGATTCTTCAAAAAAAGATTGCGCCACAAGAGAACTGAGACCAAGCTTACCAGCTGAGAAATCCTGGGTAGTTGAAGCAAACGAACATGAGCATGATTTCTAAGTTATTGAGCAAACAAAATTCATGATTACCACCAAGTCTGGCCAAAAAGTAATAAGGACAACCACAAACTAAAGAAACCATTCAGCATCGACCAGAATCGATGACGTTAATATTAAGCACGCCCAGTCGTACAAACAATATTTTCTTAATAGAATTAGAGAAAAGAAAACCAGTTTGCTACTCCCCCGACAAGGAAAAAATCGCAAAGGAAAAATAACATGAGATGTCAAGAGGACATGAACAACATTAAGCATTAAGATACATGCACCATTTTGCATTGAAGCAAAATATTGCCGCAACATTATTCATAAAGAAATGTTCAGAAAAAGAAAGGTTTGAACTAGTACTGCCACTCCTTGGAGCTTTTACTGTGCATGTGGCTTCTTTAAATCTGTCCAGTTTGAGATTGCACATAACCCTACATCGATTCGACATGGATTTTGATGGTTCATTGCAAAAATGTTTAACGTTGTTGAAATTTTTTGAATGAATTCATTTTCATGACTTGAAGGACAAACAGTCAATTAAACTGCATGGATACGATCAGGAGTCTAGAGGATGTTACCAAGTCGCCTGCCGATGTGCTTGTTGCAACGGTGCTGGTTTCCCAAAGCTGTCACTGAAATTTGCAGGCACTTACAACTCGACCATATTCAATAACCTGCTTGGAACGCGTTAACGATCAGTAACTTCAGATAGAGAAAGTTGGCCACGGAAAAAATCGCCAATATACTCCTAACCCTCCACGTAAAACAAAAAGCAACAATCAAATACAACTTTGCTAAAGCGTAATAGCAGGCTAGTGAGTTGGAATATAACATCGACCCACTCTGTCAAGATCTAATGATCAGCTCCAAAAACTATGTTTGATATCTCAAACACCCATACACATATACGCACACGCACCTGACCGATACTAAAGAGGTCCCTCTGGTTGCCAAGGACCTGCGCAGAGTACGCACTACATATCAGAATCACGAATCTTGTCCACCCAATACTGGAAACCATATGCAGCTTATGCGCAACTTGATGTTAAATAGAATGAAGAAAAAAGGAAACCGTCCGTCACGAATCTAAATACCGTTCATCTTAACCGAATGGGAATGAACAACGCCGTCACTACTGGCTACAGACTCCACAGGTGGTGTATTTACAAGAGACAACAGCTTCCGCCCTGTTCTTCAATGTTCTGGTCATGGATTACTGTCAGTTGGAGGGATTAATGTTAGCAAGTACCTTGGAGTCGTGACGTCAGAATTCTCAGCTAAGTCAGAGGCATGGGTCAGAGAGACATCAGATTCGCTTGGTCAAACCTCAAAATAAAAACTATGTCCACCCGATCGTGACAGGTAAAAATGAAGAACTTCACCATCCTAACTCCTCGATAGTTTGAGTCAACAATTCCATATACCGAAAAGTTGCATTTGGACGTCTACCGCTCACCACTCACGCTTCGAGCATTAGCAAAAAAGGGACTTGCTAGCAGACTGTTATCCCAAAATCACATGAAATGGAAATTTTCCACTGCCAGCATGCACATTGGACACAAACGTTGCACACTAAACCTGACTTCTTCATAATGCAAATATAGACATCCAAACAAACTTAATTTAAAAGTACTCACCAATATCCCTCTTTAAAGCACATGGTTGTCAAGGACACCGTATCACAATGAAAACCTCTAAAAAGTCAAGTTCGACAATACGTAGTCCAAACTACTCTATTTCTGGTCAGTGGAATTTGCAAATCCTCAATATGAACCCTCGATACTCGGTCGTCAATGTCCACAAACTGAGCAAACCTAAAAATTTCAGAGCCATCTAAGAAAACTGGGTCGCAGAAGCTCTGGGACATTTGTTTACGGTGCTAGTTCCTGCCTACACCTACATCACCACTACCTGGTGGATAATTGAACATCTGACAAGCAGGAGAAGAAACCATAGAGTCGATTCTTCAATAGGGTCTTATATAGTTATTAACTGCACCTTCTTGAAAGCAAAGTGATGCCGCAACTTGACATGCTTCACTTGTCAGCGATACTCATACATCGATGTCACCTCAGAAAGGATCCTCGAGAATGAGCAGCAGGAAATCTTAGCGATGATATTCCCAGGATGGTCCTGAGAAATCATTAAATTAGAAGAGTTCTTGGTGACACTTATCGCCGAGTTTTGGCACGTTTCATTTCTGGGTTGTTGAAGGGGGATGCTAAGCCACTCATGAATGCAGGACTCTCCTCACGTAAAGTGCCATTTAACATAGCTAGTTCACGAAGCTGAGCCTTCTTCACAATATCGAATGTCTCATCCTGAAGAAGTTGTACATCAGCCCACACTCGTGAGTGCTTATTCACAATTTGGGTCTGTCAACATTTTTCAAAACAGATAAAAGCGATAGAAAAGACCTGAAACAATAAAATGTGATAACTTTAGAACCTTTCGGTGCAATAATTTCCTTTTTTATTTTATTTTTACTGGCTAACATATATCCGACGTAAACATACCACAGGCTTGAGCAGATCCAGAAGTATATCACGGGCATGAATAAGTTGCTGATCAATTATGTTAGCTGGGAGCTCTGCCTCGACCAACACATGCAAAGGTTCATTCAAATGCTCGAAACCAGGTTTGTCTCTCATTTTATCTTCCTGCAAACACAAATACCCACCAATTTAGGAAATTGGGTCCAAGCAAAAACAAAGAGTACCAAAATGGAGGCATCATATACGATCCTTTGCTGCTGTTTCAAAAGAGTGACTGTTGCCTGTACACCTGGTATCAGCACTACATTAAAGATTGGAAAATATAAGATTGAAAGACATGAATTGTAAAAGTTGGAAGATGCTCAATCCATCGAAACTTTCAGAACTGAACTGACCTTAGCAGTGTCTTTGATTGAACCCCGGCCGCGAATTAACACACGGCAACCTGTTGAAGCCTCAACTCGCTTAAGGGAATTTCCACGAGGACCCAAAATTCTCCCCACAAAGTTGAACTGCGAGGGTTAATGACGACCTCTTAAGCCCGAATGTGCCGCGACCAGTGAATAACTAAAAACTCATTTGGAGATTGAATACTGAGGCAGCATCGTTCACATAAAGCCCCTCGATTACAAACTATTCAGCACATGAAATTCGATACATACATTAGGGAACTTATCAACAGGAACGTCGATGCGTTGGGTCCTCTTCACTATTGGCCCGGCAGGAGTAGCAGGAGTCCCATGCCAACCTGATTGAGATAGTCCAAGCCTCTGAAGCACCACATCCACAATTTATGAATAATCGTTACTTAGACTCAAGTATTCAGGAAGAACACAACGCAAAGCAACATAACTATAATTACATGCTGAGCAAACCGATGCACCATAAAAAAAGGAGTGATCAGGGGCATACATCTCCCCAGCCATTCAAGTCGCCTGAACCACCATTATTTATACGTGTGCCTAATGAGAGAGGACTTCCATGATCCACACCATCTTGGTCGAGAAAGGACGAATTTCCAACAAGCGCTGTTACTCGCACAATCTCTGTCCAACACGTGCTCCGATTGTTAGAAACCATCCTATACAATAATGCATTATAGGGGTATATGTTTCCGTAAGACAAGACTACAAAACCACTTACTGATTGTTGCATATAAAACTGGTGAGAATAAATGAAAATCAATGAGTCGTGAAGAAGTTATATTTTGAAGAAAGGATCCATAAAAACACCTAATAATCACCTTGACTCAACAAACGACTGCAGTTGGGAAGCACTTGCATGAAAGGTCCTAAATTCTGTCTTTCCGCGAGCAGTTCAGAAAGATACCTGCACATTACAATTACAAAGCCATCTGGTCAAAAAGTTCTGCTTGTGTGGTACTGGAAAAGATTTGAACTTGACCTGCACGTTCGACTGAGACTCCGACAAAGACTCTCTAGCCTTTTTCCAGTTAAAAAGTAGTTAGACAGCATGTTTAACTTCTTAGAAATACTCTTACTACAGCGAACATTGAAACAACAAAAGGAAGGGTACGACAGTCCGATGATTGTAATCTCCAAATCATTTCTATTTTCATAAGAATTAAGTCAATAATTGGAAGAATTGGAAGGAAACGACAATCTGTTCATGACAGTAAGACCAAGGATAAACGATGAAAAATTCGTGTTGCATCTAACCAGACTACATCTTCGGTGTCAAACAATATGATGAGCAAAACTCCAACATTTAGACTTGTGCTAAAATCCATCAAATTGTAATCTGCATTGACTGGCATTTTGCATCGTAACAAAAACTTTCTTGTATTCGCCTCCGTTACAGAAAGAAAAAAGAAAAAGAAAAAGAAAAACAGGTTCACAGGGGATAGAACTGGAATGCTCTTTAATAGCAGAATCAATTGAAAGTTATGATAGACGAGGACAAAGGACGACGTCACAACCAGCAGAAAATGAAGGAAGCACTTGATTGAACTTTTCAAACATCATCAGACTTCCTGTTTTCTATCTAGCTCCTGAAGATGGCTTCGCACTCAATACACAGGCGATGAAGATCAAATCAAACCCAGACACCAACTCACAAATCAGAACATAGACTCCACGACAGAAACGCCAGCGATTCAAGGAAGAGAGCGAGAGCTTAACATACTTATACTTATCGTGCTCAGCGACGACACTCGAGGGGCGTATGCCTAGTTGCGGAGAGCCTCCTGTCGATGGTGAAAATTGCGTATATCTCCCTGCCATTCCTGTCCTCTCAGAGCTGTTCTCACTCCACGCTCCACGCTTTCTCTCTCTCTCTCTCTCGCAACACCACCCCTTCCGTCATTGACCTAACACACCGCCATCGCGAACCACAAGTCCATCCACCCGAATTCCCCTTTCTCTTGTGAACACGCCTTAACACCAACACAGCCCCTTCCTTACACTCATCTTCAAACGCCTTGACCTAACACTTTCAAGCGGACGACCACCAGGCAACGCTCCACAATCCAATCAATACCTTCCAACAAAAGAGCACAGTCGCAAAATCCCGACACCACGAGCACAACAACACGCACGGACGACAAAAACACAAAATGTGAAAAGGGATTATAGCCTCAGCATTAGAAAAATTGCACTCACTCCTCTGTCTCAGCAAATCAACGAATAGCGAGCTCAACTCCCACGTCCCATTGTGTGTGAATTGCCTCTCCTCCCACGTCCTCCTCTGTCCTTCGTCGTTTGTCCTCGTTCTCTATCGTTTGTCCTCGTTCTCTATCGTTCGTCCTCGTGATCCGTCGTTGTCCTCCTCGTCGTCGTCCCATGGAGTGGTGCGGCTCCGTCCATGGGACGTTTGAGCGTGACGGACGGCGGACCGACGGACGGAGGTTCGTTGGATAACCGCCTGCCTTTCATCTTCATTCCAGTTGGAAGTGAACCTTCATTCATGACACGTGGTCGAATGTGAGGCTTCCTTCATTCCTTGACCGTGCTTTTCTTTTTGTGTACGAATGAATAAATAGATATTTTTTCATACTTCACTTGGTTTTGTAATTGAAATGTGTGAACATGATTATTGTAAATTTAGGAGAATGTTAAATAGACCCAAGTTTTTACTGATTTTGATCTATCCATCATGAAGAATATGGTATTCATAATGAATGTGGTTGGATTTCATTGGTTTGGGATCCAATAGTGGAGAAATGAATCTAGAAATTATATTTATTATCTATAGAAATTAATTTTACTTCCTTCATATGCATTTGCAATTCCATTGCTTTAAAGTATTACTCTTAAAGCAAAGCAAGGAATTTTAATGATAGATAAAACATATATCAATGTATATGTATGTATGTTTGTATATCAAAGAGACAAAAAGAGAGTGTAAGTTACATAACTTTTTTTATTACATAACTTCACATACATATACACTCACACAAAGCATATTGATAGAATTGTTTGATTGTTAAGCATAAATAATTTTTTTTGTAAATTATAATCTATTTTTTGTTTAAAAAATAGTTTCTACTTTAGAATTTAGAAATATGTCATATAAGTTATATAGTTCTTTTTATTATTATTATTTTGTCAAGAATAGGAAAAAAAAAAAAAAAAAAAAAAAAAAAAATCTGTTATTAACTTTTATAAATTCAAAGTTGATATTTGAGTTGATAATTTGTGCCATTAAGATGACTTAAATACTACCGAAGAATATCAAAATAGCTTTAGAGCTACATAATACAAAAAAATTGTACTTTAGCATGTTATTTATGAATACATTCAAATTAGAATAGAATCTAAATTTTGTAAGAAATAACTTGTGAATATATTAACGTTATATTTTGTTATCAATAGATACTTAGTTGAAGCAACTTCGTGGCATATTGTATTCACTTGATAATAATGAAATACTAATACAATATGTGAATACAAGTAGAAAGTGTGTAAGTTTGTAGAAAAGTTTTTGTTAATGTGTTGTACTTTAGAAGAAATAAAGTCATGTTACAAATATGCAATATTTTTCTTTTTGATATATAGTTGTGACAATCAAAAATGATTTAAAAAAATATCTTTAGATTATTAATGAAAATTATATATTTTTATTTATTCACTATAATAATTTTAAAATAATAAATATAATTATTTTTAAATTATTATAATTTAATCTTTTAATTTAAAAATTGTACAAAAAGATTAAATATTTACAAAAACTAAAAGATATCAACAATCTTTTTGTAGAGAGGTTAGACTTCTTATTAATTTAGTTGGCATATGCACTCTAATTAACAACCTTAGCAAAATTATTTTGCCTAATTGTTGCTTAAAATTATATTGTTATATAATCAACAACAAATGAATAAATAAAATCAACTCCTTTTTGTTATTCCACAAACAAGAAATATTTAATGAGATAAATGCACATTCATTCAAGAAGTCTATAATAATAGATTGGAATTTTTTTTAGGAGGGCTTTATACCTAAAAGCCCTCTTTGAAAGCCATGGTGAAAAAGCCTTATAAGAGTTTGTCACTTAAGTGAAGTCTTTTTTGAAAACCTTGGCCTATAAGTATAGCATAAAGTGAGAAGAAACCATGTAATTGATCTAATCATTCTTTTAATATAAGTCTTAATAGTAATCTAAATATGTCAACATATTTCTTGATTCAAACAATTACAAGAAGCATTAAACAATATGTTTTAATGTCATTTGTTAATAGTCATTTAAAGCATTTTTTTAACACATTTATGCCATATTAGAAAAGAATATACTCCACTTCATCTTTTCTCTTTAGGGTATTTGGCTTAGACTTCTTAATTATAATACCAATTATATAAAATTTAACAATTTTAGCCAATCAAAAATCTTAAAAAATTATGACTTCTAATCTCCTCCCTGTAGTATAAATACCCACTTAATATTTTGAAGGGAGAAAGACATTACGAAATGGTTTGTCACCCTTACGATGAGCTACATTATTGGGTCAAGTATCAAAATCCCCAATCAACTACGTAAACAGCCACTGCCACCCTTTCCACCACTAACTAGCTAATTGGATTTAATAACCTAACCAATCCTCACTGCTTTGTGAGGAACTTGGCAGAGTATAGTTCATATACTCGTGGGCAAGACCAGAGTATGGTGTAAACACAGAATTAGAAAATTATGCAATAGTTGCAGAGCATAAAATTACGGATCAACTAAACTTGAGAAACGTACATTCTTCAAAAGTGTAAATGAACATAAATGCCTCCGTAAACCGGACAATAGTGTAAACTGTCAATACCAGGGACAAACAGTACATATCAAAGGACATAGCAAGTATAATGCTGCGTTGGTTAGGATATGATTCCATGTATGTAGACCCGAACATCTCATTCGAATGCAGCATAAAAACTTTTCACTTGTGATATATATACTGATCGCCGATTAAGAACTTAAGAGAAACACGCTCTGTTCTAAACCGTGTCGGCCTTAGTAGGAAATTAGCGATGGAGATGAGCAATCAGGTAGTAGTATGATGCCCGACATCTATGTACTTGGACATATTCTATTATACGTCCAGAAGGCGAACTTTAGTGCACAACTACTACATGCATTTGACTTACTATTGAGTGATTGCCAAGCCAACCAGTTCGGAAAATGGTGCAATGTCAACGCTCAAGACGCGACAAAATCAGCCCCACAGTTTCTCACAATATAATAATTTTATTGCGATTGGTCCGTGCGAAACCATTTGTCCCCTACCTTTTCCACACTTACTGAGTCGAAGACTAGTACCCTACTAGCTTTGCCTTGCAATAGTACTATAATATGCCTTGAATCTTCAAACTACGTAAAGATACTACGTGAAGGATTGTTCAAATCCACTGCCACAGGATGCAGACGAATTCAAAATGGCCAGTAAAATTACAGGTCCTACTAGTTTAACGAATGGACATAACCAGCTAGTCTTCTCAAAACCACGTCAAGATTGCATGAGAACAAGAGGTGCTTACCAACAGAGAATTATCTGACCAATGATTAGATGTTTTCAAGCACTTGATATCAAGTATCAGATTTGATGCTGCCATTTCCTCAACATACCGGGAGAAACTGATGACGAATCCATCACCATTCCCGTATTCGCGTCTCCCAATACTGACAAAGAGCCAGAGCTTGGTGAGTCGTGTGAATCTCCTATTCCGATTAGAGGAGGACACCACCCCATGCTTTCCTCGATATAGTTGATGTCATACCTATCATGCAAAAAGGTCAGGCATAGCCCCTGTAATCGTCAGACCATTGTTTTCAGGGTTCAAAGTTTAAAATGGAGAGGATACGAAAGCTATCTCCAGTATTCAGCAGTATAGATCATAACGCCCAAAAGTTTACAGTTTTTTATTTTGTTCATTCCAATTCCCCATTGCGTTTGAAAAGAGTAATATACCAACAGTACACAAAATCGCCCTATCCATTTGAAAATCGAAGCAAGTAAAACAAACCCATCTCTTCGTTTCAAAGAATTTCAAAGTTTGGAAGATGTAAAAGCGTAAAATACTCACTGAAATGCGTCTTCAGTGACCTTTTGTAAAGCAGTGTTAAGATCTTGGAGTATGCTCGGATCACATTTTTCAGTGAGCTGCGATCCAATCGATGCACCGTAAATACAACAGTCTCAACATGTTTTCCACGTTACAGCCCCTTAAACTTATCCTCATACATCAAAAAACAAACATGTTGGATGAGAATTTAGGATCTCGGATCATGATCTGTATTCGAGATCTATAGACCTTGTACGGCACTAAAGAAAGATATCTACCTGCTGTAAACACAACTCTACAGTCTTCCCAAGCATGGTAACAGCAGCACACCGCGTCTCTGGTTTTCTTAGTAGAGTGATAATAGTGGTGACAGCGCCTGCAAAGGACAGATAAAACTTCATCTAATGGATGAACATCGAATATGAACCAGAAGGTTCATACAGATGGTGTAATTAAGCGCGATGTGGACCTTCCTTCCCAAACATTAAAACGAAAGAAGATCCAATCCTTGAACGCACCATTCATTGGAACAAATTCCAAGTTCACAAGAGTTGCAAAAGCCTCAGCATGAGCAAAAAATTCCATGCGACTTGCTTCCACTGGTCTCCTCACTGTCAAATGCTTCAAAACCTTCAAAAGTAACACATGACTTTGTGAGGACACATAACTCAGATAATACCTTGTATGCATATGACGAATTTAACCTTGATAAAGACAAGGTTGCCGCTCAACAAGAATGTATTAAACTGTAATCTTCTTTCCCGTGTTAACTATTGCAAGACCAATACCAATCTCGAAAGTGGCCTAAATGTAACAAAAATACCTTAGGAATAAGGAATTCCCGCATTCGAGATTTTGCCTGATCTGGTAGTCTGCAGGATAAGAAAAAAGATCTCGAAATAAAATTCTAAATAATGTGATAATGACTCTTCAATAAATGATACAATCAAGTCCTACTTATCATTGTCAATTAACCGGGAATGTCTTCCATTTCAACCCCCACACGCCTGAACTAATTGTAATCTAAATTCATGATTATCTTGCTATCATCAAAACTGTATGTAATAGCCATGGAAGTTCAATAAAGAAACCAGACTCCAAAAACAATGCTAAGCTGACCTCGGCAAAAGGAACATGAATGGCACAACACTTTGCTGTCGCAAAACCAACTCATGGTTAAACACCACAGCCACAAAAGCAGCTTGAAACTCCTCTAACATCTGCAAATACAGGGCCGCACATTGGAGATTCAGCTCCGAAAAAACAAACAAATAAACAAAACAACCAAACAAATAAATATAGCAACTCGATTCTAATCGCTTGCCAAGAGCTCGAGACCAGATACACTCGGATGATATTGCGAAAACCTTGGAAAATGTTCCACACATCCGAGTAGTTTCTCCCAAATTTCAATTTTTTAATTTAATTTTAACTTTTATTTTGTTTCCTAGTTACACAAACCACCAAACCAGAGAGGTTATGATCTGTCGTCCGCTGCCACTGCTAGGTGTTCTCATGAGTGTATGAAATCCATGCTCCTCCTAATTAAAAACCACATTTGTGCAGGTAAGCGTTATAATTGAAGCCACTGGGCAGTAAGTAAGGCGAAAGATGCTAACCATTTCAGATGGATCTGTAAGAAGAGTGGCGATTTCTTTACTGACTCGATCAAGCTGGCTGCCATCCTCCAGCCTCAAGATGAGAGTTTGGAACAGCTTACCTACGTCTCGTGTTTTCACGTGATCTGTTAACGCCCTGATGCCAGTCGAGAATACAACCAGTCTTCAATTACTACTCACTTTACCTCTGTTAGTAGTGGCAATCATGGACAGCTAAAAATGCCCTCAAGTGCCGAAATTCATGATTGCAAATGAAATCTCTACACATATGTATATATACTAGAAGCCTGAAGACATCTCTAACAGCACCTCAAAGCCAGGACGGAGATTATATCATGGCAACCTTCCATACAACCCACCGAATCAAATCACTGAGCTCGCTTGAGTAGGGGCCTAACCTTGACAATTATACACTAAACCATGAACATAAACCCTCGAGCCCAGAAATACGCATTTGACACCAATCAGCACCAAAACCCTAACAACATTCGCCTTGGACCTTACAGCCAGAATTGAGAACATTCAAAAAGGATGACTAAGGTATGCCATTCTTGTTTTATTTTTTTTTCTTTTTTTCCTTCGCCTTCTGTTTCAAAATAAAAAATGAAAATGAAGAGATAAAAAATAATAAAAATTGGTGAAGGTAAGTGGGTTTGTGGAGAGCTATCCTAGCACCTAAAATCACGTATTAATCTTCTTCAGGAAAACTCCATAGCCAACTCGACCCTAGCTCCAAGCCACTTACCACTTCCACCACAGACTCCATTCACTCTCCTCCACCTCCAGAACAGAAAGAAGCTCTCTACCACCACTATTTCGAGCGACGTCCTACTCTGAACAGCCAAAAAAAGATGGTAAAAATAGGGAGAAGCGCAGCCACCTTAAAATTCGAAAGAGCTCCGTTGCTGAGGGGATTTCATCGGGACTAAGTTCGACATCGATAAACAGCTTCATCAACGCCAAGGGGTGAATGACCCTCCCGTAATGAGAGCGGTCCGAGGAGACAGAGTAGGAGGAGAGCTGGCGAGAAGGAAGAATGCGAGCGGGCGAGCGAGGGAGAGGTTGCCAGAGCAATTCGATCGTCCTTGCTTGCTCCACAACCACCACCACCATGAGGACGACGACGACGACGAAGAGGGCAAGAACAACCCCCCCCCCCCCCAACCCTTCCCCTACCCAGGCTACAACATGCGATGTATATATCCGGATCAACATAGCTCTCTATGTCCTCTAACCCAGATAACTGTATGACAAGATCCGGGTATCAAGCGGATCTCAATTTACGCTTCTCATTCTGTCCCACCGTTGGAGGGAAGAAAGCATGGCTTTCAAAATAGCTTGTGCGCAAAAAACAAAATCTTAATGTCATGATAGTTTTCTCCATTTGAGAATTACCCCACCAAACTATTTGATTCACTTCTTGAAAAATCATCTTCTTTTTTTATGTTTGTAAGTTTTTTTGTTTCGATCGACTGGATTTTAGGAATTATATAATGAATTTAGTTTATTTCAACGAGCCACTATTGTGCCAAAAATATTTGCAGGTCAAGTTATTTATTTAGTTTAATATGTACCATAAAATAACCATAATGTTTTTGTGAGCTTCAACTGTAAAATAATTTAAATCATTGTAACTGTTACTTCTGTCACTTGAAAAATATTTGAATGCAGTCTATAACACCTTGAAAGTGATTTAAAAGCATGTGTTTTAAATATGTGCTTTTTGTGTGAAAGGGGAATTTTTTTTAATTTAATTTAATTTAAACGAGGAAGAATACATACGCAAAAATTGTTGAAACGTTGCTCCAATATAATATAGCTAAGAAAATAATTTATAAAATAAAACATTTTTTTTTTAACTCTCACAACTTAACTTTATTGACTAGATTTTGAATATCTAAGTTTATTCATAAATCTGAGACTTAAACGTTCTACAGAATTCGAAAAGTTATTTATTCCTTCACACGAGCTCCATTGTTCTGGCTAAGCTTGGCCTTGCTAGAGAAGTCCACGTCACCTGCTGACGTTGCACACCCACAACAACAGTGGGAGATGGACGAGTTCAGAATGAACGAGAAAGAGAGGATGAGATGAGGGAGGTAATATCATCCATCTATCTATCCATCCAAGAGGATGGGGAGTGAGTGCAGAGCCTTGGAATGAACCACAAATTATGTGGGGGGAGGATGGGGCTTGCTGGATGGCCTGGCCGTGTCACGCACTCTCTGTTTGTTTTTGTTTATCGTGGCGGTGGTGGTGGTGGTGGTGCAGTGTTTTTGCAGCGATTCCTCTGGCTATGGCGTTTGCATGCGGTTCTGCCTCGTGTGTCACGGGCTCCACCTTGCAATGGCGTAGCTCCGCACCTACTGGTGACCGAAGCAGGCGCTTGCTGGCCTCTTCTTCGTCGCAGCTGGTCACTCTGGACGCTGCCCTGCTTCGATTGCGGATTGCTGCGCCGGGTCATCCCGTCAGGTGTGAGTTCCCTGTCCAGTTCGCTGTCGATTCCGCCTGCTGTCGTGCATTAAATTGGAGGACTAAACGGTGTTTTTGCGCAGAAAAGGCGGCAAGCTCAAGGGCCCAGGGCGATGGTGCCGTTGGAGCCGATAATATTGGCGCCTCCAGAAATCGACGCCACCACATTTGTGCTCGGGTCATTGGTGACCGGTGCTCTGAGCTTCGGAGTTTTCCGCACTGTCGTTTACTTTAGAATGCAAGTGAGAATTCTGAATTTCTCGAGGCTTGTCGAAATTCACTGTGTTCCACGTGTGGTATATGGCTCTAAGCGTTCTGCTAGTTGAGGGGGAGTATTCTTTTGAAAGTGCTGGATTCTAATGCAAGGTAGAGTGGTATGAAAACGAACATTCAATTGCACGCCTCATTCCTCTCATTCTGAGGCATCTATCTGGAACCTTCAATTCTTGGTTTTTTAGTCCCTAGCTCTCATCTTCCCTCTGAACATAACTCTTCATGTGCAAATAGTCAGATTTCTTAGAATTTCTAGCTACTTTCAACCGAAAATCGTGATGTGTTCGAAAATTATAATTCTTGCCTTGTGCGGTCGTAGCATAGACTGAGTGATTCCACGTAGCAATCTTCTCTCTGGTATTGTATAGACGTGAGTCGCTTATATGTAAATGACGAAGAAGGTGGAAACTCGGGAGCAGTGCTGAATCGACTTGGAAATGTCTTGCACCAGTTGATTATAGCACATATGCTTGCGCTGCATGTGCCAAAAGGTGGGGCACGGGTCGTGGATTTCAGCGTTGGAGAAGGCCGAAATTTGTATTATTACCCAAAGGATACAGTGCAAGTGGTTGGAGTCAATCCGAACCCTAAGGTTCCGATGCTTGAAGCCCAAGGTTTTATTCAAACAATCTTCTCATGTCATGGGAATGTGTTTGACTTCCAAGGATGACGTGGACTGTGCTCTTATCTCTCATTTGTATGCTTGATTCTGAATAATTCATGCGAAGATGCTGCAGTGAATCTCTATCTTTCTAGTGCCAAGTGTAGCTCAGAACTTTTTGTTCTCTTGCGATTCGCTCAGTTCATAGTTGTCCTAACTTTTGACGTCCGTATGGGAACAGCTGCTTACGCGAAGGTGCCCATTCGAATTTTACCTGACGTCTCACGGCTTCCAGCAAACAGTATGGACGCAGTGGTACATTCATATCCATCTCGTGCGGATCAACAGCGATTTTGTGCTGAAGAAAGGCTTCTTTATCTGTGTATAATGATTATGATTATTATTATTATGACTGTTATTATTTATTTGTTTTGCAACTCTCGTCATGTTGCGTGGAAAGCAAAGATGCCTTGCTAAAGAATACGCTTTTTCTTTGATGTCTAATTTGTCTGTGTTTAAATCTGCAGGTTAGTGTTCAGGGAATGGAAGATATGTCAGATGAACAAGTTGAAACTGTCTTACGTGATGCTGTCCGAGTATTGAAGCCTGGGAAGGTGCATCTTCTACTCGCATTTCCTAGAACATCAACACAGATTGGATTGTGACAGCTTTGTATGGATCTACTGCAATGCCTTTGTTGTTTGGTAAATGCACTTGGGTTATTAATAAAATCTAAGGTCGCATGTTGCTAGATCATGTCTGAGAGACTATCAATGTTGTCGTTCTTTAATGGGGGAGTTGTCCAACACCTTCATTATTGGAACAGAGTAGAACAAGGATTCCAAGGTTCTTAGTATTCCCTCGCATGTGTAATAAATGCAGCCTTGGGCGTTGATCTGCCACTTCGTAACTCAGTTACTTGATGCAGAAATTTATCTACATCGAGAATGTTGGAGCTGAGAATCCTTTGGTGCTAGCAGCTCAGCAGAGTATAGAGGGCCTCGGAAAGTTGTTTGGGAAAAAATATACCGTCACACGCGACTTATTGTCGTTTATTCTGGTACTGGGGCTCTTTCACCGTTTTGTATGGTTAACTGAGGCTTACTGCTGTCTAGCTTTTTTCCTCAGATAGACGTAAGTATTCTTAGTAAATTGTTAATCATGCATAAATTGGTAAATGCAGGAACGCAGTCGTTCACAGCTGAAATTCCGGACGCAATCTTATGTAGTGCTAGTGTCTCAATTGTGAATACTCTTTGTGTACTACAGAAAACCAAAGGTTTCGAGGTTATAAAGTACCAAGTAGTTCTTGGGTTCCAAGATCCTCACATTGTGGGTATCGCCACCAAAAAGCAACAAACCACTACCGGTGCAGGCATTGGCAAAGATACCATCCCCAAGAAGAACAAAAAAGAGAAAGTTCCTCAGCAGACAGGACTTTCAGATCCTCAAAAGATTGAATTTTCAGGACAATAGGATATGGAAAGATTGGACATCAGTTCAGTGCACCTCAGACATCTGCCGTCTAAACGTGATTTTGATTCATCAAGAGGGAGTAATTGGCAGTCATTAATTGAGACCCTCGAGCTAGATTTTAGGTTAGTGCAGAGTGGAGGTCCGACGAGCAACTCGTGCGCCTTTTTGATATGAGTAGGTCTGTATTCTACGTAGCGCCAGAAGCGTGACACCCCAGTACTCAGTGCTTGCGACGGGTCATGTTCAGAACTGGGACTGTGTTGTAGTTACACCTTGGCAGCAGTTTTCAGCGGTTGTTACCAACAGCAGTCCTTTGTGAGGAAGGCCAGTTTGTGGGTGATGCATTGAGCGACCGTTTGCGTGCTCTTTGATATGTATTAGTGCCAATGCCGGGAATTGGCTAATCAAACGATGTGTCCTTGCATCATTCTTGTCGAAGCATGTCCGAAATAACCATGACCGAGACACCAGATCAGTTTATTCAGAGCGACTATGCCATTCCCATTGTCCATCCCTTCCATTTCACACTGCTTAGTGCCCCAATTGCAATCTGTAGAATATTACTATGACTGGATACCTATTTAGTGTTGATTTGGCATTACACTTCAGACATGCTTCAAGCAATCGGCTGTAAATTAGACGTGGATGGATTTCCCGCTGCCCCAGAACTAGCTCAATCCGTTGGTTTTCAAGTTTACAGGTCCAACGCGTTCTCTATGATTATTTTACTATGTAGGGTGTGATTATTTTACTATATAGTGTGTGAAATAAATAAATAAATAAATATACTGTGTTGCAAATACTACCAAGGTTTTTGTTATTGCCACAACTTATTCTTATTAATTCTTCAAATTTATTTATTTATTTATTTATTTTATATATTTTTATTTTTGGGTGATATGTGGTGAATGACAAATTGTGGTAGCATTAGCAATACCCGACATATATATATATATATATATATATATTGTTTAAACTGTCAACAAATTGCTATTCTAATGACTCATACTGAGTAATGTGTTTCTATCACAGAGTATGCATTCTTGAATCTATCAAAGGATAGTAAAAAGCTGTTAATTTATTATAATAATCACATGTTTATTAAAATCACTTCTCTTCTACCTTAAACTGACAATTTCTTGAATCAATCAAGAGAAAAAGTTACTGTACCAAATCACACCTTTGTACTAAATATTATACAGTTGTTGTTCTGCCTAATAATGTTTTGAGATCATTTTTTCCCTCTAACTATTATAAACAAATAAATATATATATATATGTAGGAGAATGTTGAAATGACCCAGGCTTTTGTTAAATCGATCCACATGTTTAAATAACTATTGCACCCCCGTTCCCCCGTACCTGTTCCCCCGTTCCCAATCATGTCCCCAGTCCCCTTCCAGTTTCGGTGTTGACTCTTGGAGGCGGTATTTGTGCAGCAGCAAGTCCTGTCAACGCAGCGCGTACGAGCTCGGGGGTGATCTACCTTTTTGCGCTAGTGTCACTAGCTTCAAAGCATTATAAAATTCCAGAGTTCCAGACAATGAACACGACGATGATGAACGTTGGAGGACGCCGACCCTGCAGTGCTATCATTGTCTTCTTGTGAGGCTTCGAAGAATTGGGAAAAGATAAGTGAAGATTGGGTTTCTTTGTTCCTAAACCCCGCCGTATTAGACGAGCATGCAGGACCTCTTCCTTCGGATCTTGAGAACTACTCGCAATTTGATTGTACTTCAAAAGAATCAAAGGACCCTCAAGACCTATTGTCAGATTCTTTGTTATTCCACTCCACTGACGATCAATTGTTACAAGTATCACTCTTAGCAAAATTGGCTCGCTTGCTGGCTGCTTCCATCCAAGATGCTGTCGACGTGATGGGCTAATGTAACTTGTTTGCGTGGAAGATTATCTTGTTTGTGGAATAGAAAGTCAAGTGTGAAGCAATTCTCATCTCTTTGAAGAGATGCATGATAACATGTAATCCTTTAATTCATGCCCATCACGTCGACTACTTCTCGGATTCTAAAACAGTACACTCTGACCACACGGAGCACCCATTGACCGGCTTGCTACGGAGCGAATTGCGAGGGGAGGAAAATAAACTAATTTATTCAGTGATACATGAGATGAGCCTCCAGTACTTCAGCTCATTCAGGAATAAGTTACACAATTTTCTTAAATTCAAATTGCAGCGATAAAATAAGTCTTGGTAAAAAACCTGAAAGCACTCTGGTAGAGGTACCGTGCATGCTAGTTTTCCTCAATTTCGAGGTTCTTAACGACAATCAAATAGCTCAAACATTTCAGACAGACCGCGTAAGATATTTGGACTCCACGGCTCTCAACCAAATGAAATGAAATCCTGAAATGAGAGAAACATTAATTTCACGTCAACCTCTGACCGAGAGTCTTCACTTTCAATACAAGAATTAGAACACAATCATCGGCAATTGCTTTGAGAATAACAGAGGAATCATATTAATATTTTAGGGCGGCGCCCTCCACGAAGTAATGTTTGCATCAGTGACAAAGAAACTCGAACTTAGATTCGGCACCAAATGTCACGCCAACAGAATTGCCTGCCAAATGGACTGGTTGGTCCGGGAGAAATTGGTCCTTGAAATTCAGCGCCTACTAATTCATGTTGGACGATACGCCCCCTCAGTCAATACATAAAGAACCTAGATATCAATAGGAGGTACAGGAACATTACCCTTGACTGGGTATCTACCCATTGGGGTAAAACTTTTGTATGACTCTAATCTTGGACTTTAATTGACAGTTAGCCTGACGCCTGTAGTGGTGTCACCTTTTGCTAATCTCTCGTGTTATTTTTGCTTGAGTGTAACGTTTGCTTAATGAGTGACACTATGCATCTCAGATACTTATTGTAGTGCTTTATTTTCGGTCATAGAAATTGGTTAGCCTTTTACTGTTGTTGAACGTTGTCGTGTTGTAACACGACTACATGGTGAAAGATGATAATATGGATCTTATTATAGAAGAGCCAAGTTAAAAGAAAAGATAGAAAAATATGGATAAAAGATAGGAAGGTAGTAAATTTTTAGTAGTAAAGCTGCCATTTTAGAAAAAATAGCTTCTACTTACTTTGTATGGCCAAAAATAAGGCAAATCAAGGTAGATTAGAAAAATAAAGGATATAAGCATATTTAGGGAGGAGTTAGGAGTGCAAATTAGTATAAATTACCTCAAGAAGACGAAAGTTGATACCCAAAGAGGACCGGTTATGAACCTGGGTCGAAATCAGACCCCAAGGCACAAAACCGTGCTCTAACGGCGACTCAAGGACTCTTTGGCAGATCGGAGAATGGGGTTTGATAGAAGATTGAATAGGGTTTCTATGGATGTTGATTTTGGGTGATTTGGATCTGTATTGACTTTGTAATAGCTTTGCAAAGTCAAGATTTGTTTCGGATGACTTGGATTTTATGAAATAAAATAGGGTTTATGTTTTGGATGATTTCAAGAGTTTTGTAGTAGATCTACAAGTGAAATTTTGTGGGTTTATGGTTTTAGTTGTGTTTAGTATGTGTTGTGAATTTGAGCTCGATCTAACGGTTAAATTGAGGGATATTGAGGTTTAAGTGGATCAAGGTCTCACAAAGTAGAATTTTAGGTCCGATAGGGGTTTTTAAGATTTCGTGCAATCTACTAGTTGGATTGGAGTGAAACTTATGTAAGAGGATATTAGACTTGTTTTTCTATGTGTATTAGAATTTTGAGATCAATCGAATGGTATAAAGAAGAGATATAGGCTCTGGAAGATTGGCATCAAGATTGGAGACGGAGGCCAACCAATACCCGAGCACATTTTTGAGATTATCATCAATTGGGTAACTCTGATCCTTTTCAATTTCTTTATGCTTATTTTGAACTTAGTTTTTAAGAAGTATACAAAATTTGAGTTAAGATCAACGGTTAATTCATTAATTATTGAGGTTTAAATTAGTTGAAGGAATTACTAGGGTTTGGTTTAGGGTTTGGTTAGGATTTGGTTTAGGATTTGGTTTAAGGTTTGATTAGGGTTTGATTTAGGGTTTAAGGTTAAGGATTTGGATTAGGATTTGGTTTAGAATTAGGGTTTGGTTAGGGTTTGGTTTAAGATTTAGGATTTGGATTAGGGTTTGATTTAGGATTTGATTAGGATTTGGTTTAGGATTTAGGGTTTGGATTAGGGTTTGGTTAGGATTTATTTAGGGTTTAGGATTTGATTAGAGTTTGGTTTAGGGTTTAGGATTTTATTAGGATTTAAGATTCAATTAGTTTTGGCCTAAAGTTTTAATGAAGTTTAATAGGATTTTAACTAGAATTAAATTAAGATTGAATTAAGATATATTTGAGTGATATTTGTGATCCTTCTATTATTTATTTAAGAATTCTTATTGTTTGTTTGAAATTTCTTTGAGGTTTTTTTGAATTTGATTAAGCTTGCTTAGCATTATTATGGTCTAATTAGAGCATTGTTAGTATTCTATTAGAATTAGGATTTTGTTATTGCAATTTTCATTCTTCTTTCCACAGCCAAGCGCCCGGAGCATTCTCAAACAAGACTTCACGTATTATGACAACGTATCATGACATTAGAGCAAGTAAACATGAGTTAGAAACATCTAGTCAAGAGAGCTGTGATATATAAGCACTATGGATTCTATCATTGCACAATCTAAAATGCTTGTAGGACCAGAAAATTACAAGGGGTGGAAAAGTAGGATACAGAGCGTATTCGAATGAAAAGATTTGTGGAACATGGTGGTACCAACGAAGAGCTCACAGAAGAAACCACTCGGGAAGATAACTTCATCAAGTAGTGGGACAATATCTATGATGGAAACCGAAGAGGAAAGAACAAACAAAGGAGAAACTGAACGTATTGGGAGTCGAAGCTCGAAGACTGCACAGCCAACACCACAAGTGCAAGAGAATCTCCGCAAGTGAAAAATGCGAGTGAAGGGATTTCTCCGTCTTTCGGTAACAGAAATGGTAAAATCTCATATCTTAAATGCCTCTGATCCTGCAATATCTTGGAAGATCTTAGCAAAAGTGTATTCCACACTAACTATTGTAGATGTGATGAAAAATCTACATAGGTGGGAGAATCTAAAAATGTTAGAGGACATGTCGGTATTCACATTTATGTAGCATGTTTACGATCTATTAAATAATCTGAGAGAGATTGATGAGCTACCCTTAGAAATTGTGGTGGTACACAAAATTCTCAAAAACCTTCCTGTAAAGTATGAAACATTTGTAAGGATTCTACAAGCAGAAAAGATTACACCATCACTCATGAACCTAACTAGCACACTCCATCTGGAAGAGATGGAAATGAGTGTAAGAGCAGATTCAAACAAGGAGGCATTAATCTTCAAGTTGAAAAATATTAAGCGAAAAAAATCAAAACCTTTTGTGGGATTCAA